AGTCCAGTCCCTGTGCTCCTCAGAGTCCGGGCTGGTTCATATGGGACTAACATGTCACTAATATAGTTTGGTGCGAGGCCATGGAGAGATTTGTACACAAGCAGAGCTGTTTTAAAGTCTATTCTCTGAGCCACAGGAAGCCAGTGCAGGGACCTGAGGACCGGACTAATGTGGTCGTACTTCCTGGTTCTAGTCAGGACTCGAGCTGCTGCATTTTGAATGTACTGCAGCTGTTTTACAGCCTGTTTGGACAGACCTGTGAGCAGGCCATTGCAGTAGTCTAACCTACTGGAGACAAATGCATGGATAAGAATCTCCAAGTCTGCTTTAGACACTATGTTTTTGATCCTGGCAATGTTTTTTAGATGGTAAAAAGCTGCTGATGTTACTGATTTGATGTGGCTATTAAAATTTAAGTCTGAGTCCAGTATTACCCCTAGATTTCTGACCTTGTTTGAAGGTTTTAGGGAGAGAGACTGTAGGTGACAGATGACGCTCTCTCTTTGTTTCTGGGGACCAAAGACAATCATTTCAGTTTTGTCTGCGTTTAGCTGAAGGAAGTTGTTTTGCATCCACTCACTGATCTGTTGGATACAGTGAAGGAGTGAGTCCACTGGTCCATGTTCTCCTGCAGTCAGTGAGACATAGATCTGAGTGTCGTCTGCATAGTTGTGATAGGACACTTTGTTTCTGCGTATTAACTGACCTAACGGCAGCATGTAGAGATTGAACAGAAGAGGTCCCAGGATCGACCCCTGTGGTACTCCACAGGTCAGGGCCATATGATCTGAGACACAGTCTCCAATCTCCACAAAGTACTTCCTGTCTTCAAGGTAAGACCTAAACCAACTTAGGGCGGTGCCAGCGACTCCAACCCAGTCCTCTAGTCTCTGTAAGAGGATCTCATGGTCGATGGTGTCAAAGGCAGCACTCAGATCTAACAGGATTAGGATTGAGACTTTGCCTGCGTCAGTGTTCAGCCGGATATCGTTTGTAACCTTGACAAGAGCAGTCTCAGTGCTGTGGTGGGGTCTAAAGCCGGACTGAAACATATCAAATGAGTTGTTAATTATAAGAAATCTAGTAAGCTGTAGGTAGACAACTTTTTCAAGGACTTTCCCCATAAATGGCAGATTTGAGATGGGACGATAGTTGTTAAGTACCGTAGCATCCAGGCTGCTCTTTTTTAGCAGGGGCCTGATGACTGCAGTTTTCAGGGCCTTTGGGAATATTCCAGAATGAAGGGACATGTTTACTATCTGTGTGAGTGAAGGTAACAGACTGCTCAGAACAGACTTCAGAAATCTAGTGGGTAGTACATCCAGGCTGCATGTGGAGGAGCTCAAACTGGAGATTATTTCTTGGACATTTTGATCATCTACAGGTGCAAAGTAAGTTAGCTCAGAGAGCCTTTCTGGCTGTTGGATGTTTATCTGTGGATTGGAGACAATGGCGTTTTTGATGCCTTGAACCTTGTCATTGAAAAAGTGTGCAAACTCATTGCATTTACGTTTGGAAGTTAGCTCTAATGGCATCTGAACAGGGGGGTTTGTTAATCTATTAACTGTTGAAAACAGAACACGCAGATTGTTGCTGCAGCCTTCAATCATTTCAGAAAAATACCTTTCTCTCGTACTACGTAGCACCCGGTTAAACTCGCACAACTTATCTTTGAAGATCTTGTAATCAACCTGGAGGTTGGACTTGCGCCACTTCCGCTCGGCCCTCCGGCACTTTCTCTTTTGTGCCCTGACCGAGTCTGCTTTAGCCCACGGCGCCTTCTGCTTATTTTTCACTATTTTAACCTTCACAGGGGCAACGGTATCCAGAACATTCAAAACACTAGAGGTGACAGAGTTAAACAGTTCATCTACAGTAGAATACGATGCATTCTCAAAGTTTATCATTCCCATAAATAGTTCACTCGTATTTTCATTTATGTGTCTTCTTCGAACAGTTGCAGAGTCCACTGGTGGTTTGTTAGTGAAACACATGTCAAAAAATACACAGAAATGATCCGAAAGAGCAACATCGACCACGCTTATATTTGAAATATTCACCCCCTTTGTAACTAACAGGTCTAGAGTGTGCCCTCTGCTGTGGGTGGGGCCACTCACATGCTGAGTGAGACCAAAGGTATCAAGTAAAGAACTCAGCTCTTTTGCATTTCTGTCATCAACATTATCCACATGAATATTAAAATCACCTGTAATAACTAAACTATCAAAATCTGTGCATACAACTGAAAGCAACTCGGTAAAATTATCAATAAAACTGTGACATGACTGCGGTGGCTTGTATAGGACTATGAAGAGTATTGGAGGAGATTGTTTTTGTTGTATTTTAAAAGACACATATTCAAAAGACGGAAACTTCCCAAGAGACATTCTATGGGAGACAAAGTGGTCTCTAAAAATGGCAGCTAAGCCTCCTCCTTTTTTGTTTTCCCGTATTTCAGATTCAAATTTGAAATTTGGTGGTGATGCTTCTATTAAAACTGCATTTTCTGTATTTTGGTCAAGCCATGTTTCAGCCATGAACATAAGATCAAGATTATAAGAACAAATAAAATTATTGATTAAAAAAGACTTGTTAGAAAGAGATCTGACATTTAGCATAGCAAGTTTCAAAGTTTCAGGATCAGCGGTTGTGGTCGGCTGATTCTTACACGGAACAAGAATTAGATTTTCCAGATTAGACTGATTAACTCCAGATGTCTTTCTGTAATGTATTCTTTGTGTTATCACTAAGGGAATGGCACAGGTGGCTTCATGACAGGGCCCCAGCCGGGTCTCTCCTCTAACTAGACTGCCAGTGGCTGCGAAGCAGAGACCCTGTGCATCCTAGGGAGAGGAGGGAGGAGGATGGAGAGGTGGGTGGTTCTTGGGTGTTGGACGAGGGGGGGTTGGAGGTGGATGGGTGTTAGGGGAGGGGCAGGAGTTGGGAGATAGACGAGGGGGGAGTGGAGGTGGAGGGGTTAAACGAGGGGGGGGTGGGGGTGGGGCTGGAATGGTTTTGGGGTTAGGGGAGGGACCTGTGGATTTTGCGGGTGAATTCGAGTTAGAATTTGAGGGACGGGTGGATTTTGTGGGAGAATTTGAGTTGGACGCCCTAGGTGTTTGCAAAAGGTACGTATGGGGAGAAGTTATGAATGTTAGATAGGACCCTTGATCTGGCTACAGTGGGTGTGAGAGGAATATTCTTCATCGCCGATCTTATCATGCCTGCAGAGTGTTCCGGTAAATCCAATAGTGATGGAAAACACAGGGAAAGGTCGTCCTCATGTTCCTTAGATGGAGTGGATGTAGCGGGGGGGACCCAAACCGGGTCCATGGAAGGTGATGAGGGAGTCTTTGGTGGAGACGGAGAGGCCCCCAGTGCAGGCCTGACTGTAGCCTGTAGCAATGGGGGGGGCTTCGCGGGAGCTGTAGGTGGGGAAGGTGCTGCTGAAGATGATGCAGCAGCCACAGCTGGTGCTGGTGGTGCTGATGCTGAAGGCGCTGATGACGCTGTGGCAGCCACTGCTGCTGCTGGTGCTGGATCCTTTGCTGATGATGATGCTGGTGGACGTGTTGAGTTCTTTTGAGGCGGTGGAGGTGCCGAGACCTCTGGGTTCCGTGAGGGTCTCGCCCTTTGTATCCTCCTCTCTTTCAACGGCTGAACGCGCTGCGCAGGCTGAGGTCTTAAGGCAGATGCAAAGTTATCCATCAGCACTTTTACTCCGTATTTGTTCAGATGTGGTCCTTTCCCTTCAAAGAGCTCGAGCCTATTCCAGAACAGATTGAAGTTTTCAATGAATCCAAGTCCTCTGCGTGAACACTCATTGTGTAGAAATGAATTTAACTGGTACAGACGGCTAAACTTTTCCATTTTTCCATCTGCATTTGGAATGGGGCCACTGATTAGCACGTTTAACTCAATTTTTTTAAGGTCATCCAGCAGCAGAGAAAAATCTCTCCTCAACTTCTCGGTGGATTTCTCATAAATGTCTACTGCCCCTGTGTGTATCAACAATGTACTTACATCCTTGGTTTGAGATAAGACTTTTGGCACCAAAGCTCTTATCTCAGACACTCTGGCCGAGTGCAAACAATGTGTCTGTACAAAGTTCAAAGATACATTCCGAATGGCTGAATCTCCAAGCAGCAAACACCGTGGCCTTGACGGAGGGGGAGAAACAGGCTTTGCTTCTTCAAACAGAGCAGCATAACGATTTGAAGTTTTGCAAACATTTCGTGGCAGAATTCCACTCCCATTGTCATTCTTAGCTTTGTCAACTTTCGGTTTAGCGCCGCATTTATTCCAATAGTTCTCTTTGTTGATTTTGGGAAAAGTAATTACGTCATCATAACTTACATTTCCAGTCTGTCCATTCATTCCATTTTCACACATTGGAAGAGTCGGGTTAAGTCCCATTTCTGTTTCCAAAATATCCATCCGTTTTTGAAGAAATTTGAGCTCATTTTCCAGAGAGCAGCAGCCATCGCAGATTTGTCTTCGTTTCTTCCGTCCGGACATAATGTTGACAAATTTCACAAAGCTGAAGTCTGCAGAAGGAGTAATCCGTGTTTTGTAGAATAAAAATGTAAATAAAGCGATTAAAAGAGATTACAAAGCGAAGCAAGCAGCGGAGCACCAAGGAACACGTCTACACACTTCCACTGCGGAAGTATGACTATTCCACTTTTTTGAATTAAAGCTGCTTGGCTGAGTGAAGGAGGTCCAAACAAGCTGATCTAAAATGTGAAAGAAGACAGAAAACATGCGTGTGAAAACTAGCGAGGAACTACTCATATGGATTTTAATACATTTTTCAATATGTGTGGTTTTAAATCTCAATACCCCAGCTTTAAATTGGACCACACACCCAGCATGTCGCAGTCGCATCCTAAATAAAGATTGCGGCGAGGCTCGTGTCTCAACAGCCGAGCGTCTTCATTAAACCGGCGTCCATCGGTGGCGCTCCTCTCCGCGGTGGCACATGGAAGCAGCGTTGCTAATTACCCAAAGAAGGTGCGCGGGGAGCAGTGGACCACGGCGGCCACCTGTCCACTGGATGGCCTCCAAACGACAGTCGCCCACGGGTGCTGCTTTGGCGTCACCCTGGATGTGGCTCCGTGTTCTGCTCTGTCGCCGCCGTTGCGTAGCCGGGGTGTGGCGTGGTGCGGTGTGGCAGCCTCAACCTGGGGAGGAACTGTTGTCTTTACTAATTTACCAGAAATAGCCCACTGCCTCTGGCCCCTCTGATGTGACTGCCATAGCTCTGTGTGTGTGTGTGTGTGTATGTGGAGAGAGAAAGGCATCTGGTTTTGGCTGCATGGTAAATTGTCTGTGTGTGTGGCTGGTTTCGAGGACTAACTAGCAAGAGGCAAAATGTAGTCAAAAAAATATAAAAAATAAAACATGGATTCAAGCTTGTGTACCTACCTTTTTCACCTGTTGTTGTCATCTTATTAGAAAACTTGTGAAAAAAAACCCTTTGAGTCATTTTTGGACCCTTTGGGAGCTGATTCTTTTGTTGATCCAAACACGATGAACAAATGATGAACAAAAATGCATGTATGTGAAAACCAGTGATAGAACCAAATGTTCAGATTTTAATGATTTATTGTTTTTTTTTTGGTGTGAATTTTTTTTTTTTTTTTTTTTTTTTACCAAAGCAACTCCTCCCCAATGTTACTGTAATCCTAAAATTTGTTTATTTAAGATCACGGGTGTCAAACTGGTTCCAGAAGGGGTCAAGGGGGTGCGGCTCTAGGTTTTTATCCAGACTCCACCCATTTCCTCAGGTCTTCCGGTTTAGATTGAACTCTCTTGGGGAAATGGATGGAGTCTGATGTGCTCCTGCTTGGTTGGTATGAAAACCTGCAGCCACACTGGTCCTTTGAGCTCCGGTTTGACACCCCTGGTTTAGATCTTTTATTGTGATATTAACCAAAGAAGTAAATCTCTAAATCACAGTGTGACCAGACCACGTCCCAGATGTAAAAAAGGCCCGTTGTAAGTAAGTAAGTAAGTAAGTTTTTATTTATATACCGCCTTTTCACTGCAGATCTGAGTCTCAAAGCGGTTTACAATTGTTAATTTTTGGGCATTTGTCTCTCACTCCACACAGCGATGGGAGTGGGGCCAGTACAGGAGGTACATGCCAGAACTATTGGACATATTTTTAGTGGTAGGGGAAACCGGAGCACCCGGAGGAAACCTACGCAGACACGGGGAGAACATGCAATCTCCACTCAGAAAGGCCCTGGTCCGACCGGGATTCGAACCCAGGACCTTCTTGCTGAGAGGCGAGAGTGCTATCCACTCAGCCACCGTGCCGTTGTATGTTTTCACGTTAACTCTACATCTCTATAAACAAGCTTTGGTTTCTCTTTGGCGCGGGTGTTTTCCCTCTTTTGCTCCCAGACTGAAAGGATCGGTGCGCTTCACACATAATAGCAGAGTAATCTCGTTCCAGCTTTTTTACGTTTCATCCGAGACCCGAGCTCGTATTATACAATTAGATTTTACTGCAAAACAATAAAGCAGCACTCCGGTAGAGCACCGTAATAACATTGAAAAAATAAGAGCTTTCAAGGCACTTTTGGCCGTCCAGACCTCATTTTCAGCTCGTGCCCTTCAGAAAATCTACTAATGTTTGTACAAAAAAATAAATAAAAAGGAGAGGATATTTGTGAAACTCAACTGATGGGTTTAAGAGGGGATGTAAAAGTCAACATTGCTTACAATTCATTAAATTTTTTGGCCATTTTTTTAGAAAAGAGCCCTATGTGTTGAATAGTGACTCACAGGGATTTGTGTTGGGTTTAGGTTTGCATAAAGATATAATTTGACTTTTGCTTGCATGAATTTTTGGTCCTCGCCTATAAGCTTCTTGGGAATTCCCTTTTACAAAGCACCAACAAACTTTAGAAATTACAATGTTGATGACTTGTATTACTATGAAGTTTGGTAAATAAGATAATAAGGTAAATAAGGATAATTTAACATATTTTTTTCCAATAAGGAGTTGTTCTGAGGTCGTCTGATTTGCTCAATGTCATTTTCCAAGACTTTTTTGTTGGTTTCCATTAGTTATAAAACAAAAAAGTAGCTACCCCAACTTTAATAACTTCAAATCAAGTATAATATTCAACACAGAAAACATACTTAAAGCTGGGGTACCTAACTTCCCTACCACAAACACATGCTCCATCTAACTAGAGTTCCTATCATTCAAACCAGTTCTATAGTTTTACCCCAAGCATGCATTTTTGGCCTCTATCAAATCTTTAGATCTGCTTTTTGGGTTAGAAAAGTGATAACGAGAGGACCACCCTCACTCAGCCAATCAGCTCCCACCCCCAAGCATCAAATACTAGTGACTCCCAATGTTCTTTCTTACAAGTATGCAAGAGACACAATATTTTCTCATACCATGGGGAGAGCAGGGAGTGGACTGATTCAAATGAGAAATACGTTTAATTATTTTTGGTATTTCATGTGGTTGCAAAGGTATCCCAATCCTTTTATCAACATTTATGGACATTGGTCTTCTGCCCCCTATGGACCAAAGGTGGGTTTTTTTCATCATTGCATTTATTGTGTATTGGAGAATCAAAAACTTTGTCCTCCAAGATAACTGCTGTTGTATTTAGGTCTACACAAAAAAACAAAATTTAATTGAATGCTACCACCAGAGGGAGAGGTCGGTTTTTTTTTTTTTTTTTCTTAACACTTCCCCTTCCATCCAAACTCCAAATCGACTTGCTCTAGTGTGTGTGTGTGGTCTGGTCCCACCCTCGGCCCCCGCCCTCTGCCCAGATCACTCGCTGCAGCTCTTTGGCGTTGGGGGACGAGTGGCTTAATGTGGCATCTGTCTACAACAGTCAGCTCCAGGTGGAACGGGGTCCGCTGGGGGCCGTCGTAAAATATACAGCTACGAGAAGGTCACTTTCCAACAGGCCCACACCCAAACGGGCCCGCGTCCAAATGGTTCAGGAGGGAGGGGAGGTGCAGCCCCCCGTCATGCAAACATTATTAACATGCAAAGAGTCCAAGAAGCAGACGCCGCAGACAGACACGGAGAAATGAGGCGTGTTGCGGCGCGAGCAAAGCGGGTTAAGTAATGGGGCCGTAGGGATTTAAGCAAGATGTATTTTTAACTTTGGTGAGTTCATTTTGTGTCATTGTGTCAGACATGTTGGAGGGATCGGAACTGAAGGATTTTTCCTATCGTACATGTTTTTAAGCGGTATGGGAAACCGGAGGCACCTGGAGAAAAACCGACACATGCACAGGGAGAGTATGCAAACTCCACTCACCCTGTTGAGTGGCAATGTAATGAATCACATTGTTTGTAATCTAATGGAAGTAAATGGACTCCAATAAATATAAAAAAAATAACATTTTCTGAGATGAAAAGAGTTTCAGTCAGAGTCCTGTGACTCTGACTGCTTCTCCCCATCCAGAGACAGTCAGAGTCAGTTGAAGTAGCTCTGGCATCCCTGTTGTATATCCCCTGGGCGGTGTTCAGGCGTGTCACTGCAGAGAGGAGACCTGGACATATTGGAGGGACCTGCACTGGAGGATTTTCCCTGATACACATGTTTTTAGTGGTAGTGGAAACCGGGGCACCTGGAGGAAACCTACACATACTCAGGGAGGACATGCAAACTCCACTCAGAAAGGCCCTGTTCTGACCAAGATTCGAACCCAGGATCTCTAACTGAGAAACGAAAGTGCCCTTCAGCTACTGTCCAGCTATATCTCTCTTTGCTTGTATGAGTCACATAAGTAAGTTGAATTACAGAAGCAAACAGACTTTTGAACAAGAATGTATTTTTCTGATTTGCACCTGAATTTTGGGTACCATGCTCTATATGCCGTTTCTCCCTGAGCCTGGCCTTCCAAATGCCTAGTGCTCATCCATATTTCATTCATTCATACATTCTCATGAATTATCAGAGCTGTCAACCAATCCTCATAGCACCGGCACTCATCCTCCTTGGTATTTCAGCGGCGGCCTCAGGCAAAGTGAGTGTCTTGCCCAAGGATACAACGACAGCCCAATCTCCACTCTTGGGGGGGATCGAACCCACGCCCATTAGGTTCAAAGAACACATTTCCACAAAACAAAACTCTCAATTCAAAGTAAACTATAAACTGTACTTGTAGTGAGAGCCCACGTTGCTGCCACATTTTTGCCCCTACTTACATTAAGGTGGCATCTACAGTATAAGCCCATACACAGACGGCACATAACGCACAGTGACAAATGGAAGTGGGAGAAAGCAATATCCGCTGATGTCTTTACGGCTGCTCCCCCGGTGATGTCAGCCCTCCATCAGGGCCGGGACCTCCACAAAACGCTCATTTGATCTGACGCCTTGGATTTACATTTCAAAGCTTTGGAAACGTTTCTGCAACAAAAAGTCGACAACCAGACTCCAAACTGAACAGCCAGTCCATTACTGTAATCCTTTTAACCTCTGATTTTTTAAAAAGCGTTGTTAAAAACGTCAACAACAAAAAAATGGCTGAGCGTTTGGCATTCATGTGAGGATAAATGGACTGGCAAATGGTAATTGGAACTAAAAGAACATTTTGAAATATTAAATAAACAGAAAATGGAAATGATTGTGCTGAGGTTAAAAATTATGCAAAATGTATCTTATAAAATGTGTTTCTGAATTTAAACTGGCCAAGATTGATTAAGGTTGGATTAATGAGAAGAAAGATCGAAACAAATTAACGCACTTTTTTTCCTGTTGAATGTGAGAATAACGGCTGTGGCTTAAAACATTATCATGAAAAAAAAAACTTGTCCGTATTCTTCTAACGTTGGTCTTGCCATATCACTCGGCACTCTGCCCCTTTTGGCTGAGTGGATAGCACTCTTGCTACTCAGATAGAAGGTCCTGGGTTCGAATCTCAAAGCCTCTCTGAGTGGAGTTTGCATGTTCTCTCTGTGTCCTCCGGGTGAGTGAGTGAATGTGATTGGGGGCTTGATGCTCCAGTGTGTTGGAAAAATGCGCTATACATATAAACTGTGCTATAAAAAAAAAATATTACTTATTCAACGCAATCATTTTCATACTTCCCTTGAGTATGCAAAAGAGTATGTTTTTATAATGATGACAGAAACGTATTTATTCAAATTTTTTCAGAATTATTTATTGTGTTGCAACCTTGGCCCCATATGTTCATAAAATATAAAACAAAAGAAGAAGACAAAAACACAGCTTTATAGATCACGTTTTCCTATAATACATTGTCTCACGTATGTTGTTTAATTTACAAAAGTGAACTTCTTTCTCAGTCAGCTATCGGAATATGCATTTTTCACTCTCGTATTGCGCGATGTACATGGTCCCGATGTGGGAATAGGAACATAGATTTAACATTGTCTTCTGGATAGACTCTTTTACCGCTGTGATAATGCCTGAGCACGTGTAAAAAGGGGTTAAATATGCCCGCAGGTTGTGCTAAATTAATTCTCCTCATGACCGACACAGAAATAATAATTATGCTTTAAATTCCCCACATGTACTACTGTAATTGGTGACTCTCTTACTGCAGCAGTGGGAATTAACACGGGGAATATTGCACCTGATTGCACCAGGTCATGAGAATTACAGCAACGGACGGTTTCATCTAATCGTTTGTTAAAGCTGGGGTGTCTCACTTTAATGTTTCATAAATAATTCATGCTGTTTATTTTGACATTCTAAGTGTCTCGTAAAAAGGAAAATGTTGTGAGCAAGTCAGACCACAACAGGCCGTCTCCATCTTATTAGAAAATGTGATCTTTTGCATACTTGTGAGAAAGAGCCCTGTGGGTCGCTGTTTGTATTTTTAAATGAGCAAAAATAACTCTTTTTTTGACTGAAAAAGTGAATCTTGAGCAGTGAGAGAGGTCAAAAATTAACAAAAATGGAAAACTAGCGACAGAACCAGAATTGTTTTCGAGCCAGGGACTAGTTTGCATGAATCAAACAATTTTTGTTATTTAATTATGATAAAATAAAAGTCCAAGGTAAAAACCAAAGTCAGAAATCCAAACGATACACAGGAACTAGGAACATGGCAGACAAAAATAAAAACACAATGGACCAGCAACAAGTGAGAAAGAGCACAGGTACATATAAACAGAGACAGGTGAAGCACAGTCAAACAGTACGGTTGGGTATCGGTTTGGCCTTTCGTTTACACAAAGACAGTGTTTCAGGTGAAAACGCAAGCATTAAGAAACAGCCTCCAGAATAGAAGAGAATACAGAGGAGAATTCTACTCCTTTGTTCGTCCAAACAAAACCAGGCAAAGCTATGGTTTCAGTTTCCATTTTTGCTGCTGTTGTTAAATGCAGAATGATGTTGATACATTCTTTCACACCGCGGCCCAAGGAGGATGTTGTTGAGGAAGTGGTTTTACTGGTGGGAGTTGCATGTGTCGTGTTACAAAGTTCAACTGCCCCCTACTGGCTGGGCGCTATAACTACACTGTTTTCCGTCGTGCTGTAGACGCTGCGCACTTTGAATTTGAAGCCTGGTTGTTTTTGCTAATTGCTTTGCAGCGTCTCCGTCTAATCAAGGCCTAACACATTTTCTCTCTTGTTTATGGATTTTATAAAAATTAGTTTCTATATTTTTTTTCTTTTTACTCTAATAACTTGTTTGCACCACCAGACTTGGTTGTGACTTCCTGTTACTTAGAGACCAATAACATTCCATGACAAAGTACAGTTTCCAGACGGCGATTAATGTTTCACTTGTTTATGTTAGTCAAAATAATATAAAATATTTGTAATTTCTCAGGTAAAAATAGGAAAAAATGCTCAAAATCAGACTAAATTGGCTTGATTAATTAGCAACAACCTTCAAAATATGCAAATCAACATTAATAAAAAAGGATATTTAGATTGTTTGCAGTGAATAAACCAGACACCTCAGATAGTATGTCTAAATACACATTACCTTTAGCGATTACGTAACATGTTGGATTCGAGCAAAAGACACAACTGATACAAAAATCCATATCGTACAAAAGGCGAGTGGAAGCGTTCGCGCCGCCGCTCGGCAGATAGATGTGCAGTTTGACCTTGTGGGATTTCTGCTAAGAGCGATATCTTTTGTCTCCACCGCCAACAAAACACAACACAACAGACCTGCTGTAAATCCACCGCTCTTTTCCGAGGCAGGATCAGAGTGTGTGGGATCCCAGGGAAACACCACAAACTCACTCGGATTTGGACTTCACACGAGACACGCATCAACCAGGACGAGTCTGAGGCGTACGCGCAACTGTTCAAGGTCTAGGCCAGGCATGTCAAAGTAAAAGTAAGTAAGTAAGTCAGAGGGCCAAAAAAAAATTTGCTACGAGCCGAGGGCCGGACTGGTTCAATGTTTCTCAACATCCAGAGGCAGTGCCGGTGACACCTGCTGGCTCAATATAATATGCTCTAAAGCCAATCCTCATACTGTACATATTAGATGTAATAGACATCTGAGAACATGAAAATAGTAAAAAAAACAAAGCTCAAACTTGGTGAAATGTAAAAGAGCAGTCTGGACCTCTTTTCGCCGCGTTTTTTGATTAAATCTGCAGAATGGATTATACTTTGGGAAATACAAGTGGATATTCTTCTTCAATGAACAGTTACGGAGAGAAAGAGACTAAGCAAGGATGGGGAAAGTCTAATTTGTTGGAGCAGCAGAAGACAAAAGGTAAAAAACGAATACAGACGTGATTTATTTTGTGCTCATATTATGCGTTATATCTTTTTCATGCAATGTCTGATATCGTTTACACTTACATATAAATATAGCTGAGAAAATAAGCTTTAAAATTATATATAGTTTGTGGCTTATGAAGGTCAAAATACTGTACATCTGCTATTGCCAGCAGATGTATTTTTTTCCTCGTTTGCTCCCGCCAGCGGGGGCTAGCGAGCTTAAGGGGTCAATACATTGCCTCAATGGCAGGCAATGTCCCGGGGGCCATAGATAATTCATTCGCGGGCCGGATTTGGCCCGCGGACCTTGACTTTGACACATGTGGTCTAGGCAGACAAAAAAACATGAACGTATTCATAGTATTTTTTTTTCTTTTGAGAATCATTTCTTCAACATTATTATTACAATAATAATAATAATTAATCTGTTTAATAAAGTGCTCTTTTTGGAAACTCAAAGTTGTTTGACATGTCATTATTTTTTTTTACGTTTATTCACCAGCAATTCATGCACACACCAGAATTATTCTAGGCAATGTGGGCAAAGTGTCTTGCCTAAGGTCACAACACCAGTTTTCCACTTTACAGCCGCGGCGGCCCCTCTGCGGCACCTGGTGTTCCCAGAGGTCTCCCATCACAGTACTAACTAGGCTATGTTCTCCTTAGCTTCAGAGGTCTGACAATATCTGGCTTCTACCTGTTATGGCCATATACAATCTCATGGTATGTGACTGACAGTATAAACTAGGATCGGTTTGGGAGAATGAAGACAGAATTATAACTGGGAGTTCATAAATTGTTTTGAAAAAATATGTTTAGGGAGAAAGAAAAAATAAACTTTTGTTAAAAAAAAAGTCTGGACAACAAATAAGGCGTATAAGGGGGAAACAAAAAAGGTTTTCGGCATAACACCTTTTCCAGTATACACCGCAAAAATGTATATAATATGAGGAAATTATCTTTTTTTATCTTCATTTGAATACATTCTTGAGCACATTCTGACTGTCACTTTACGTTCTCATTCCAAGGGAGACATTTCTTGTATCTCTTTTGAAAAAACAAGATCATTTTGCTTTGTCCCATCGGCCAATCCTGTTTTAAGGCAGTCAAAATGTGCACAAATTTGGGAATTTATTTTATTTATTTTTAACTTATTGTTCATCACTTTTTCCAGTGCAGAACTCACTTTTAGTGCTTAATCTCGGAGCAGGGGGGCGGAGCTTCTTGCCTGGACGCTCTTCATCCTCCCAGACTTACACAGAGATCCACTTCTGTCCACAATATGTCAGCCATGTTTGAAATTCCTCCTCGCTCCTCCATCCATCAGAATTTGGAGACGTCCCCACGGAGATGATTGACGACGGCGAAGCGCACCGGGGCTGGGGTGTGCAGATGAAATCACAAATCTCATCTCTGCTATTCTTTCCTCTCTCTTTCTCTCTCCCTCTCTTTCTCTCTCTCGTTCATTCTCATCTTTTTCTGAAACGTATATTCGGCCTAACAGGTGCTGCCCACACACAGATGACTGCACACTTTTATGCTTTCATGTCAGTGGTGGCGGGGAAAAGTATTGCGAGAAGTTTCAATGTAAAACTCCAGACGGTAAAGATGTCTATTTTTTTTATACGCTTGACAAAACACATCACAAATTAAGTTTGTCTCAAGTTTGTCGGAGTAACTTGTGTCGTGTTTGTCCCTGGTTAGCAGTGAGAAGAAATAGAGTAGTAATCAACTTCCTCCTCTCCTCGATCCGCCTTTAGCCCTTTAATTTTCACTCCTTGAAGAAAACAATTTCATGTTTATTTGAATTCTCTGAGATGTAGGAGCACTTAACATTTTTTTTTTCCCATCCCTAGTTTTTAAGAGCTTTAGCAAACAGTTGAGATGCAGTTTGATGATAAAAGTAAAAGTGATAGAGACGCCTGATCCGGTCACACCTCTGAAGCTAAACAGGTCAGGACCTGGTTAGTACCATGATGGGAGACCTCTGTGAACACCACATGGCACAGTAGGGTGGCTGCGGCTGTAAAGGGCCAAACTTGTGTCCTTAGACAAGACACTTCTTCCACGTTGCCTAGAATGAGTTGTGTGTGTATGTGTCTTTGAATAGTTGGTGGTGATCGGACGGGCCGAAGGTACATACTATTTGCCTAGCTTCTGACAGTGTGTCCCAGGGCAGCTGTGGCTACTGTAGTTTATCACCACTGTGTTTGGAGTGAATGAATAATGGCATGTGAAGTGTCCTGAACAGCGCTGTGTAAAACTGACGCATTATTTTCATTATCATTTTGAGAAAGAGAATCAAAAAAACAGTCTTGTCTTTCTGCAAAACAGTATGAAGTGTCTGATAGATTTTTTAAAAGACAAAAAACCTCCAAAAAGACACTTTTTATGACTTACTGCTTGCCTGATTTGCTCAAAACATTTCTCTTCAGCTTTCTCTATGGTCCCCAACAAACATGTGATTTAGTTTTGTTGTAAGTTATGTACCCCAATTTAGAAATGGTAGCTGTAAAATGCTGTTACCATGTTACTAATGTGGACTTGTCAGGAAATGTGTTGCATAATTGAGACGGGCGTATGTGAAAGCAGATGTTAATGTGAGGCATCATGGGAGCGTGAAAACCAGGACAACGGCCAAAAGTGCTTTGTGTGGTGGGAGTTGGCAACGGCGTCCGACCCTCACTCAGGAGGCGATAAAAGAATACGAGAGGGAGCGAGGGACAGTATTCTGCAGAGGGTCCAGATAAAACCATGGAGGGGGATGTCAGGGTTGGTGCCAAGACAGTCAAACCAAACTATATATATATTTTTTTTTTTACAGTATTTTACCTTCTATCACACACTCTGACTGTACTGGTGAGGTTCTCTGATGATTTAATACATTCTCCAATAACAGATATGCCGCATTTACATTGTAGAATAGAATCTCAGCTCCCCCCAATGTTTTAATCAAGTTTTTAACAGTTCTGTTAATCTGTGCAAACAACTGAGGGATTTTAAATTTGTATCTTTCTTATTAATGTACTGTGATTATTTATGATTTTTAACTCTCGCAAGCCCCCGCCGGCGGGGGCAGACGAGAAAAAAAATACTTCTGCTGGCAATAGCAGATGTATTTTGAACTTCATAAGCCACAAGCTATATATCATTTTAACGCTTATTTTCTCAGCTATATTTATATGTAAGTGTACACGATATCAAACTTTGCATTAAAAAGATATAACGCATAATATGGGCACAAAATAAATTGTGTTTGTATAAGTTTCTTACCTTTCGTCTTCTGCTGCTCCAACAAATTAGACCCAAATTAGCTAAGTTCCTTGAGTCCTTAGCTTCAAAAAGAGAGGTTCCATGAAAAGATAGGAGCAGTTTTCAGTCCGCAGGACCCTTGTGAAAAAGACAAACCGCATCCACTTGCACAGGGTCCTTTTTTGCCTTGTTGTTGATTACAAGCTAGCGCAATGTGCTAGCACTGAATGATTGACGTGTCTAAGTAGCCAATAAAAAGAGCTTTCTTTTGATGGGTGGGACTTGTATGAACTCTTTTCATTTTCACAGTAAAAGCGTGTGTAAAGACGGTAAAGACGCTGTTAGTACTGCTACGCATATTTTATATGCATTTACACTACTAAAAAAATTATTTTGAAAAAATGTAAAAGAAAATCACACAGATTTGTAACTTATAAGTACCAAAACTAAAAAATATGCTTTTTATGATGGTGAAATGTTAGTAAAGCAGTTTGGCACAATTTGGCACACATTTTGCCAAATTGGTTCCGAATGGCACTACTTGATAAAAAAGAGAAACTGCATAAAAACTATAAAACTCAGAAGTCTGAAACTTTACACAGTTGTTGTCAACAACACAATAAACAAATTGGCGTTGAAAGTTTTCTTCTTCCAATGAAGTAGGCTTTTTTAGGGCATTTATACATTGAATTTTTTAGACGAGGCTAAAAAAAACTGTTTTTTTTAACCAAACTTCAAAGGATGCAGAGTGAAATAGGAATGACATACATTATTTCAGTGCATATTTACATAAACTAGAAGGGCCTAGCTCTAAAATGATGCATCACACAAGCATGTGAGATGTAAGATGTGTTTTTAAATCAGCAAAGACATTTGGGTATGCCAAACTTTTGTGCACGAGCCAAAACAGATGTAGGAGTTTAAGAGGTTAATGGTTTCCTCGACCATTTGGTGGATCACTGAGTCACTATCAACTTGAACGGAAATCTATCTCATTGTTGCATCTGTTACTTTGTTTTAGGCCCTATTACATATTACATAAAGGACTACAATTAAAAAAAAAAAAAAAAACAGAAATATCTTTGCTATTAGTGTCCTACATCTTAGAAGAAGAAAAAAACTAACTTTGTTTTCTTGAAGGAGTTGAAGGGTTAATGCTATCTTGAGTTGACTTATGTATGAATTGTGCTATACAAAAAACGTGCCTTGTCTTACCCCACTGTGGGACAAATACAGAATCTCTTATCTTACTTTTAAACATATTAGAATAGAGTAAATAGATTGATAACAGATATAAATAATGCAAAAACAATCCGGCCTTCTGCGATATTTTATGTGAACTCAATGCAATAAAGACATAAAATGCTAAGGGAAAAAAATCTAAAATGTTTTTTTTTTTTGTTCGGGAAAGAGATCAAAATGGAGCAGCAACACTGAAGTTCATTAATATCCCAGCTGCGGAGAGGGAAGGTGCTGGCCTTTGCCGACTGTAACTCTCTGTTTTTTTCACTTACGTGTTTCACATGTTTCTGCCAAATCCTGAGGCGAGTTGAACTGAGTGATTGTGCTTTCTCTCTGTGTTTAATCCATGAGGTTAACACAAAACAAATACATATTAAATCAGCCTAAAGCACCCGTACAGCCGTGACCTTTCCATGATGCATATCTCTTTAGCATAAGGAAGTGTGCATGTAATAAAATACAACCCTTTAATAACGAAGAGACGTATTATGCTAAATCAAGCAGTTGTTTTTAGATCCATCCATCTATGGACCTTTAGTCCATAGATATATTATTCCATATTTGATTATATCTTTGCACTAATACAAGGTCTAAAAGCGGTTGGATCAGGCTTTTTTTTCCCCCCAATCCTCTCGCACAATTCAACACCATAATACACAGAATACAATGCAACTAATCAACATTACATCTGATACTGTGATACATACAGTAGTAGTAGTAACAGTAGCAGTAGTAGTAAGAATTTGTCTCAAACATTATGCAAAAATACAATATAAACAATAAACAAGGTGCAGATAAAATAAAAACAAGACACAAAATAAACAGTTTGAGAAAGAGGCTGGACGCTTATTTGGCTCCAACCCCTCACTCATTCATGCACAACCCATCCAAACACAATCCCAATCATACACACGCAACACAATCACACACACAACACACGACAAGACACAGGTCCAAACACTCAGTAACATACAATACCCTGGTAAAAGGGTATTACACAAACAAAAACTCAAACACACACACACATCTAAGACCTAAATATTGTGGAATAATATCACTAGGAGGAAGACCCAGGACACACGTTGGAGGGCTTTGTCTCTCTGCTGGCCTGGGAAAGTCTCTGTATTCCCCTGGATGAGCTGAAGGAAGTGTGTGTGGATAGAGAAGTCTGCTTTAGACTGCTGCCCCCGCGACCCGGCAACAGATAAATTGTAAGAAAACGGGTGGATGGATAAAATCAGGAACTCGTGGAACAAACAGGTAGCTCCGCCCCTTCTGTCTAAAAGCTCCCGTCTCAAACCTGTAATAGTATGATGTCATTGACCTCCTATGACATCATAAAGCCTACCCTAACCAGTTTTTTGGCTTGAAAAAACAAAAGTCTTGCTCAAAAATTAGTTTTTGTATTTTTGCAGATGAAAGGATGCTCTTTACTGTCAAATGTCTGTGGCTGGTGACAAAAAAACCTCCTTATGCTTCCCTCTGGTGGAAGCATAGGGAGTTACACGCAGATAACATTGGATTTATTCTCTTATTTTTTCACATTTAAGTTATTATTTCACGTTCTAAAACAGGAATTGACAATTAAATATTCTCATTATAATTTTTAAAGGCCAGAATGGAATGCATTATACTTCTTCTTTAATGGATAAATAGGTTTGGAGACAGCAACAAGTCCCCTCTGATGTTTGAACAATGGCACTCCTTATACAATGGTTCCTATTCTTCTCACACACTGCTCCACTTTAACATATTGGCATTTGTGAGTCAGTCGCTGGTAATTGTCAACCACACGGCGGATCCTCGTTTGTTTCGCTGACATTTTGCCTTTGCTTGATTGTGTATTTAACAGGGGGAAAGGAAGGCGAAATTAATTGGAGTGAGGTGCTAATCTGTCGGCTCAAAATGTCACCCCTGTGTTGTGATGGCGCCGCTGACAAAGTGGTGCAGAAGCTGGAAGCGGGGTAATAAATAGGGAAATTAAGGGAAAACGAGAAAATTATGTGTTTAAAAATACATCAGCCACTGCAAGGTTCTAGACGTTCATGTCCCTTTAAATTTTGAAAGACGCCTTATTTTTGTTTTTGCTCACTTTGGGATCAAGAATTAAAAAAATATGAGACTAGTTTTGACCCTATCTTAATTCCAAACCTACCACCACATTTTAAAGGATTCAATAGACAGGCAAAAGAACCAGTGTGGCTACATGCAGAAAACACATTATTTTTGCATAAATTAAAGAAAGATCGCTGCTCGGTTTTTAACATGTATGTACAACCTTCTCAAATCTTACTGCAGATTCGAAAGGTGTTGTCTCGATCCAAAGTGTCTCTTGGCTCCTCTTTGTCACCCACCGAAGACGGGAAAGCTGGTGTTAGACTCAAACATAGACCGCCTCCCTGTCCCACAATCCTTCACTTCTTCTTATATCACTGCAGAGTTACGAAACGGGCAGATGGTGCCGGCACAGTGGCGGCTTGATTCCACGACGAGCTTCTCTATTATGCCACCAGCAGAGAGGCTTTGTACAAGGAGCATTTTGAGACGTTGATTCATGTTCAGTGCAGATTATGATTGTGTGTTTTGTGTGTTTGGATGGTTTTCATGCCTCCGATGACTGATAAAGTCGATCGGTTCATAACGACTTCGATTCAATTTCTACTTTGGGTTTTGACTTCAATCCAAAATGTGGGCTCTTGTCATGGTTGTCATAGTTCTTTTTCTACTTTGTATTGTCGGTTCTCCTGTGTCTTTTTGAGTCGTTGTGTGTTTGTCCATTGTGTGTTTGTTCCGTGGTTCTTGTCCTCCTCAGTTCCTGTGTTTTACATTCAGTTGAGTTTTGTTTTTGGATTCTTGTTAATTAAAATATATCATTTTTTGCAGTATTGAATTTTGGGTCCTCCTTATTTTGAAACGTGACAGCTCTATACAGTTTAAATTGAACAAAAATAAACTTGAATTGAAAAGGTTTTAAAATGTAATTGCTGTAATGTTGTGCTAGTAAATGGAATTCTCCAAAACTCCAATGTGAAATATTTCAGCGTCAACTTTGGCCAATAATTGTAAACTTAGTACTATACAATTAAATTAACAATTCAAAATCAACAATTGCAATTGGATATGGTCTACAATGGAATACGATTTATTATACTTCTGACTGTAGTTAGTAGTAATAATAATTATATTTCAAACTAAAAAAGCAGTACACAAATACAGTATATAGTTTAAAAAGGGGTTGGACAAAGCAAACGCTTCTTTGGCTACAAGACCTTTCTCACTCATTCTACACACACACACACAAGCGTACACACACACGCACTTATACACACACATTCACTCGGACAAGACATAGGCCCAAGCTCTCCCTACTCTCCCTAACCCCACAACACACTCCCAAACCAATAATCTAATATGAATCGCTCTCTTAGTTTTAAAATACAGATTTTTCATAGTTTACATTTTACAAACATCAAACACGAGTCTGTGCATTTTATTAGTCTATTAGCAACACGTTATAAATTATACATTTGTTCCTCTTAAAACATGCAGAACAGTTATACCTGTGCTGATAATACATATTACATTTTGAATTGATTTTACACATAATCCAAAAAAATGCGTCTTTGAGTTAGTCCTACTTACACTTTTTACAGAGCGACTGGGATAGTTTGATTAACAATATAAAAATATATATGTGGGTTTAAGCATCTTTGTAAATAGGACTGAAGGTCGAGTTTCTTCTTCCTGGTCACCGTGGCAACGTGGAGCGATGAGATGATCCTCCCTCGGATTCTGTAAGAAAAATAATCAGAAAGTCGATCGTCAGCAAATGACTTGAATACAGACCATAATGGACACATGTATTTCAATGACGCATGGGCTACATTATTTAGAGTGAACTGATTGATATGACTAGTATATGTGACTGCATCTCAAATGAATTACGTTTTTCTACAATTCAAAACATGCAATTAATTACAAAAAATCCCATTCAGAAAAGAAACACACATGGAGCTGGTGAAGAGAGGTTGAATTATGTCTATTTCCTTTTCATAAATGTGTGATAAAATGAATGAACTCCAAAAATCTCCAAATAGAAGAAGCGAAATGATGTCACAGTATTGGGAATTTCAGCCGTGTGTAAATGGTTATGCAATTTGCCCCTGAAGGAGCTCGAAATGCTTCAAAAATGTGAAATGTCTGCTCCAGTCAAATACCAAACATTAAAGTCTACAAATCTAGTATTTTGTGGACTGCGGAGATGAAAAGCTTGTAAACAGAATTTGGAAAGCAAATAGAAATTCAGATGTCCAATCAGACGCAATGATTACCGTATTTCTCTGATGATAAGACGCTACTTTTGGCAATCGTTTTTATGTGTACTGTTATTTCGTGAGAGTTTAAAGATTCAGTAGCAATGGGTTGTGGCTCGTATGTCCGTCCGTCCGTTTTCCTCCGCTTCATCCGTTGCCGGGTCGCGGGGGCAGCAGTCTAAGCAGAGACGCCCAGACTTCCCTATCCACACACACTTCCTCCAGCTCGTCCGGGGGGACCCCAAGGCGTTCCCAGGCCAGCTGAGAGACATAGTCCCTCCAGCGTGTCCTAGGTCTTCCCCGGGGCCTCCTCCCGGTGGGACGTGCCCGGAACACCTCCCCAGGGAGGCGTCCAGGAGGCATCCGCAACAGATGCCCGAGCCACCTCAACTGGTTCCTCTCGACGTGGAGTAGCAGCGGCTCTACTCCGAGCTCCTCCCGTGTGACCGAGCTCCTCACCCTATCTCTAAGGGAGCGCCCAGCCACTCTGCGGAGGAAGCTCATTTCGACCGCTTGTATCCGCGATCTCGTTCTTTCGGTCATTACCCACAGCTCATGACCATAGGTGAGGGAGGGAACAAAGATTGACCGGTAAATCGAGAGCTTTGCCTTTCGGCTCAGCTCCCTCTTTACCACAACGGTCCGATACAGCGACCGCATAACTGCGCACGCTGCACCGATCCGCCTGTCAATCTCACGCTCCATTCTTCCCTCACTCGTGAACAAGACCCCGAGATACTTGAACTCCTCCACTTGAGGAAGGACCTCTCCACCCACCTGGAGAGGGCAAGGCACCTTTTTCCGGTCGAGCACCATGGCCTCGGATTTGGAGGTGCTGATTCTCACCTTACATTGTGTGCACCATGTGCACTTGTATATTGTAAATAGTAACTGTAACTCTATTTTAAATTTAAATTTATTCTTTAGAAGTGTTTTTTATTCTTATTTTTATTATCTCTTTTTGACTGTTGCACTGAGCCAAAGCAATTTCCTAGTCTGTGACCTCCTGTTACTTACGTGGCAATAAAAATGATTCTGATTCTGATTCTGATTCTGATCCCAGCCGCTTCACACTCGGCTGCAAACCGTCCCAGTGCATGTTGTAGGTCCTGGTTCATTGGAGCCAACAGGACAACATCTTCTGCAAACAGCATAGATGAAATCCTGTGGTCCCCGAACCGGACCCCCTCCGACCCCTGGCTGCGCCTAGAAATTCTGTCCATGAATACAGTGAACAGAACCGTGGCTCGTATGTTTGTGGTCAAAATATTTAGCTGAGTCATGGAAGCTAACAGCTAGGTACGCGTGCTAACATTCTCTAAGGCTATTGTGTTATTGGCTAATCGTTGAATAATGTTGTGTCCAGGTAGAATAGCTGCCGTTGTTTTAATCAATCAGCTTTTCATCAGATAATAGTCAAGTGGCACTTTACAACATGATACAAATTTGTCTTAAAAATGTGGATACATTTTAGGCACAAGGTGGCTCTGGATAAAAAAGCGCTGACCCATGGGTGGCTGCTAGGACACAGGTCGGCTCCTGATCAGCCGCAGCCGGGTCACATGGGAGAGGGTTTGTGTTTTGAGACCCGAAACACCCTATGACCCCAGAACACAACACTGATTATGTGTCCCAGTGCATCCGAGACAAAGTGTATAGATGCGCTTAATGGTCAATACAATTATATATGGTATTTATTTTTTGGGTTTGCAGTAGTTGTATGGTGTTTCAGAAACATCTTCTAAATCTCACTTTTAATTAAGTCAATGAACAAGAAAAAAACAAAAACTGAAAGAAAATGTCTCTTGTCATTCAGAATATTGATGACCACTGCACTGACATCAAGTGATTGCATCCATCCACTTTCTTCCACATTTTGTTTTGTATGACGATAAAGATTTTGGGTAACACTTTACATTACGGGCCGGTAAGTCCATGGTACTTACAGTGGTACTTCTAGGTACTTACAGTGGTACTTCTAGGTACTTACAGTGGTACTTACGGTGGTACTTACGGTGGTACTTACGGTGGTACTTACGGTGGTACTTACGGTGGTACTTACGGTGGTACTTACGGTGGTACTTACAGGGGTACTTACGGTGGTACTTACGGTGGTACTTACGGTGGTACTTACAGTGGTACTTACAGTGGTACTTACAGTGGTACTTACAGTGGTACTTCTAGGTACTTACACTGGTACTTCTAGGTACTTACAGTGGTACTTACGGTGGTACTTACGGTGGTACTTACGCTGGTACTTACGGTGGTACTTACGGTGGTACTTACGGTGGTACTTACAGTGGTACTTACGGTGGTACTTACGGTGGTACTTACGGTGGTACTTACGGTGGTACTTACGGTGGTACTTACGGTGGTACTTACAGTGGTACTTACAGTGGTACTTACAGTGGTACTTCTAGGTACTTCTAGGTACTTACAGTGGTACTTCTAGTGGTACTTCTAGGTACTTATTGTGGTACTTACAGTGGTACTTCTAGGTACTTACAGTGGTACTTAGAGGTACTTATTGTGGTACTTACAGTGGTACTTCTAGGTACTTATTGTGATAATTCTAGATACAGCTGTAACTTAGTAATTCAAGGACACTACAGTATTATTCCTATGTAGTAAATGTGGTACTTCTACATACATACATACAGAGGTCATTTGTAGGATTGTTTGACTATAAAACATAAAACAACATTATGTAAAACAAACGTCTTTATTAATATGGAATAAGTAGCACAGAAAGGACAGTATAAATACATTTAATGCATATTTCAAAACAAGTTTCAAGGACAAGGGAAACACTGCAAGAACTAGGTACCCAACCCAAGTAACAAGAATTACACATTACCAGGTACTTACCAGCCAAGTACCAGGTACTTACCAGCAAGTACCAGGTACTTAACAGCAAGTACCAGGTACTTACCATAGGGACTGGCCCATAATAAGACAAAGGACTTTAACATAAGTACCAGTGATAACACCAGTAATTATACAGTAAGTACCAGGTACTTACCATAGGGACTGGCCCATAATAAGACAAAGGACTTTAACATAAGTACCAGTGATAACACCAGTAATTATATAGTAAGTACCAGGTACTTACCATAGGAACTGGCCCATAATAAGACAAAGGACTTACCCATAAGTACTAGTGATACCAGTAATTATATAGTATACCATGTACTTACCAGCAAGTACCTGGTACTTGCTGGTAAGTACCTGGTACTTGCTGTTAAGTACCTGGTACTTGCTGGTAAGTACCTGGTACTTGCTGGTAAGTACCTGGTACTTGCTGGTAAGTACCTGGTACTTGCTGGTAAGTACCTGGTACTTGCTGGTAAGTACATGGTATACTATATAATTACTGGTATCACTAGTACTTATGGGTAAGTCCTTTGTCTTATTATGGGCCAGTTCCTATGGTAAGTACCTGGTACTTACTATATAATTACTGGTGTTATCACTGGTACTTATGTTAAAGTCCTTTGTCTTATTATGGGCCAGTCCCTATGGTAAGTACCTGGTACTTACTGTATAATTACTGGTGTTATCACTGGTACTTATGTTAAAGTCCTTTGTCTTATTATGGGCCAGTCCCTATGGTAAGTACCTGGTACTTGCTGTTAAGTACCTGGTACTTGCTGTTAAGTACCTGGTACTTGCTGGTAAGTACCTGGTACTTGGCTGGTAAGTACCTGGTAATGTGTAATTCTTGTTACTTGGGTTGGGTACCTAGTTCTTGCAGTGTTTCCCTTGTCCTTGAAACTTGTTTTGAAATATGCATTAAATGTATTTATACTGTCCTTTCTGTGCTACTTATTCCATATTAATAAAGACGTTTGTTTTACATAATGTTGTTTTATGTTTTATAGTCAAACAATCCTACAAATGACCTCTGTATGTATGTATGTAGAAGTACCACATTTACTACATAGGAATAATACTGTAGTGTCCTTGAATTACTAAGTTACAGCTGTATCTAGAATTATCACAATAAGTACCTAGAAGTACCACTGTAAGTACCACAATAAGTACCTCTAAGTACCACTGTAAGTACCTAGAAGTACCACTGTAAGTACCACAATAAGTACCTAGAAGTACCACTAGAAGTACCACTGTAAGTACCTAGAAGTACCTAGAAGTACCACTGTAAGTACCACTGTAAGTACCACTGTAAGTACCACCGTAAGTACCTAGAAGTACCACTGTAAGTACCACTGTAAGTACCACTGTAAGTACCACTGTAAGTACCACTGTAAGTACCTAGAAGTACCACTGTAAGTACCTAGAAGTACCACTGTAAGTACCTAGAAGTACCACTGTAAGTACCACTGTAAGTACCACTGTAAGTACCACCGTAAGTACCACCGTAAGTACCACCGTAAGTACCCCTGTAAGTACCACCGTAAGTACCACCGTAAGTACCACCGTAAGTACCACCGTAAGTACCTAGAAGTACCACTGTAAGTACCTAGAAGTACCACTGTAAGTACCTAGAAGTACCACTGTAAGTACCACTGTAAGTACCACTGTAAGTACCACCGTAAGTACCACCGTAAGTACCACCGTAACTACCACCGTAAGTACCACCGTAAGTACCACCGTAAGTACCACCGTAAGTACCACCGTAAGTACCACCGTAAGTACCACTGTAAGTACCTAGAAGTACCACTGTAAGTACCTAGAAGTACCACTGTAAGTACCATGGACTTACCGGCCCGTAATGTAAAGTGTTACCAGATTTTGTTTTGATTATTTTTCTTTTCCCTGCCCTACCCTGCATCACTTAGATCAAACAGGTTTTGACATACAGGTATGAGCAGAAAAATAACAAAGCCACAGTGTTATATAAACCTCTCAGGCCTTGAGGTAACTAACCATCTTATTTTTGTATATTTTTATTATCTTAAATAATAATACTAATAATAAATGCTGACATACAAGATAAGATTACATAAGATAAACCAGTGGGGAAATTCTATAGGTAAAGGTGCGCTTTATTGATCCCCGTAGGGCAATTCATCCTCTGCTTTTGACCCATTCTGATGCCACTAAGGCTTAAGTCAGGAGCAGTGGTCGCCATAGTAACAGCACCCTGGAACCCATCTTCAGAAGTTGATGTTCGGCTTGGTCAGGACTACCGGAGCTGGAGCATATAACCTACAGTAGGGTGCATGTTTTTAGTGGTAGGGGAAACCGGAATACCACTCAGCCACCGTGCCGCCCAATAACGCCACCATTTCGCACAATACGGAGGTATATGAATAAAGTGTTATCTTATCTAAAAGTAGTAGACTCAGAATACAACAAACATCCCGAATACTCACAGAAGAAACAGTTCAGACACATTCCGCACATGGCGACCACTTGCGAGATCTGCAGAGCGCGCCCACACTCCGGACTCATCAGACAGTCCCGGGTCTTCAGGCAGCACTTGGGACACCCCCCTTCAGAACTCTTGGACTTCTCCTTCTGGGACTTTTTGGGCTGAGACTCAACCACGTCTGGGTACGTCTCTCCTGGAATCTTATCGTCCCACTCCTCCCCCGAGCCTTTTCCCATGATGCCTTGCGAACAGGTGTGCAGATGCGATTGAAGCTGAGGGATAAAAGCAGACAGGAAATGTGGAAAATAAGTGTTTTTGAGTGTTTGCACTTGGCTCATTATGTTACTGTATGGCGCCCACGCTGTTCCGCTGCACATAATGTATTGTTTGTGGTAATAGCTGCTGTAATGTGGGGGTTTTATGGGGAATGGGAGGCTCTTGATGTGTATCTTAGTCATAATGTTTATGCTGTAGCCAACAAAATGCACTTAAAATACAGACAATTAAGTGAAATGCTTATAACTGTATGTTTACTCAAGGAAGTCCATTGTGCGGCCGTGGTGCCATATGCTAGAAAACTTATGTGCCAAGCCATAGTTTTTGCCTCGCAAAGTTTTAGAGTATTAGTGTTCTAAGCAATCAAGAATTTGACGTTATAATTTAAATTATTATCTTGCTGAGTAGTTTATTATGATTGGAAGAAAAACAGAAATTCACATAAGCAATATTATTTTCAATGGACTACAGTCTATTCTATATAAGGAACAGGATTATGGGTAGTGGATTTACAAGTACATAATATTGTGTTTTAAAATATATTGTAAAAACCATGATTGACAATGCAAATAAATATATATATATTGTCAAATGGACACGAAATAAAAAAAAAAACATTCATTTTAAAGGTGATATCAGAAACTTCATTTCTGGAATCAGAAGAAAATGTTTGACCATATGACCCTTTAGTATCACCCAAAATGTATTTCAAAAACAATATTTTTAATACAGTCCCTCTGAATGGCATAACCACCAGCCATACGTTTTTTTCTGGAGGACCAATGACAAGAAGCCTCGTCTGTGGATCAAGGAGTTCAATGTGTTCTGTCCAATTAAGTACCAGTGGTGGTGAGAAAATAAAAGTAGGCACATTTTTCATTACATTTGTGACCCCTCTTACTCCTCTTATTAAATGAATGAGAAACATATTCAGTGAAACAAAAAAGTTCGAAGACTTTGGGAAATTATCTTTAAAATAGGTCCTGTACTGGTGACCCTGCTCTGTGTGGAGTGGGAGACAAATACCCACTATTGTAAAGCGCTTTGTGACTCTAGTCTATGTAAAAGCACTATATAAATAAAGAGTACCTACTTAAAAAGGTATAAACAGTCGTTAATGCCATATAACCAGTCCCTGCGCTCACAGCAATAACATTGAGATAAGACACGATACGTTTTATTGATGGAGAAATATACAAAAGTTAAGGCAGCGGTGGGATCCAAATCCTCGCCATCAAAATGACTGGAGCTTAAATCTTGATCAACCCCCACATTCCTCCTTTTTAGTAGTAATTACTTATTCACAGAGCGGCGGCTCAAAACTCTTAACCCATTGAAATACAAATCTATCCATTGTATCCCCATCCTGAGACTACAGCCCTTATGGGGCTTTCAGACCGCCAACGCTGAAACTCGACAAGCCCCGCTCACCAGACGCGCATTCTCTAGTTTTCAGACGCAGAGGACTTCACACCAGAACGTCCTGACGCGAGCCGGAAGTACCGGAAGTAGCCGGCCGGCTCTAATGCTAACAGAGCTATGCTAGCGGCTTCTTGTGTACAGATCTTCTCCAATATGCAGCTTTGCAGCGTGTCTTTGCTCACAGACATTCCACGGGCTTTATACAACAGCAGTATGTGTTCACGGAGGTGCGCCATACGTTCTTTCATATTATTAAACGGAATTTCCGCATCGGCGAACACACTCGAAGCCGTTGCATAAGGTCACGGGAGCATGACAACGCATACCTGGTTTGAGTTCTGGTGAAGCCTGGTGTGGGTCCTGTTTTGGCTGTTTACGAGTATTTTCAGTATGTTCGCTCAGTCCGCTAATGTTCCCGTGACCACTTTGCTGCTCTCTGATTGGTTGTCGCACGAACGTCCCAAGGAAAGAATGAGCAGAATCCATCTCCTGTGGGCGTTGATTTTTTGCTCCTGCTCCTCCCTTTTCACTTTACCGCCAAGTCTGTGCGTCATTATTGAACAGTCCGTTCGTGCGAACCGAGCGGTCTGTGCGTTGTGACGGTCGAACGCGCGCCAACATAGACTTTGCATTGAAACCCGACGCAACGCATGATCCGGTCTGAAAGCACCATTAGAGATCAACACACATTAGTGCTGTTATCAGTTTAAACAGAGCACTTTAAATCAATCAATCAATCAATCAAATTTATTTATAAAGCGCTTTTCATACAAAAGATGCAACACAAAGTGCTTTACAGTTTGGTTAAAAACAATCCCGCCGACCCAAGACCCCTCCCCCAGACCACCCAACAGACCCACCCCAAACCACAGACAAACACACACACGCGCTCATGAACACTCATATACACACACACACACACACACACACCCACACACACACACACACCCACACACACACACACACCAGTAAAACAATAAAACCATGATGAGAGACTTGGCAGGGTTCAGATGCAACCAGCTGAAAAAGCGTCATCCAAGGAGCCGTCTGCACCAGGAGCAGAGAGCCGCCCGTAGCCACAAGGGACGACACAGGACCCAGAGGAGACATGAAACCGAGGCCCCAGGCCCCCACCAGGCCCAAGAGTCCGACCCCCACAGCCACACCGACCACTGCTCCCAGTGCAGAGGGCTCCTCCAGAGGAAACACTGGGTACACTAAAAACAATACAATAAGTAAAACACTAAAATGTGAGACTAAAAGGAACACACAATACATGAATAATAGCAATAGCAATATAATAAATAATAAATAATAAAAGATAAATAGAATTGAATAATAAAAACTAATCAAAAGCTAATCTAAAAAAGTGTGTCTTGAGCCTACTTTTAAAAATATGAACGTTCTTTGCGGCCCTGAGCTCCTCCGGCAGACTGTTCCAGAGACGGGGGCCGTAGTGCTGGAAAGATGCCTCGCCGTGAGTGTGTGTCCTGACTTTGGGGATGGTTAGGAGTCTGCTGCCGGAGGAGCGCAGGGGCCGGGAAGGTTCATAGGATAAAAGCAAATCTGAAAGATAAGAAGGTCCAAGACCATTAAGACATTTAAAAACCATTAAAAGAACCTTAAAATCGATCCTGAAACACACGGGGAGCCAATGCAGCGATTTTAAAACCGGTGTAATTTGGTCCCGCCCCCTGGTCTTAGTCAGGACACGTGCGGCCGAGTTTTGGAGTAATTGAAGACTTGCAATGTTCTTTTTGGGAAGACCAGAGAGCAGGGCATTACAATAGTCAATGCGACTGGTGATAAAAGCATGCATCAGCGTCTCCGTGTTGCCCCGAGAGAGAATGGGGCGGACTCTGGCGATGTTCTTTAGATGATAAAAACCTATTTTTGTGATACTCTTGATGTGAGGAATAAAAGTCAGCTCAGAGTCAAAGATTACGCCCAGATTTTTCACTTGTGAGGATGGATTAAAAGAGTGTGATTGGAGTTTTGATAAAAGTTTCTCTCTCTGCCTCAGGACCGATGACTAAAACCTCAGTTTTGTCCTGGTTGAGCTGGAGAAAGTTTTCTGCCATCCAGGATTTCAGGTCTAAAATGCAGTTAAAAAGAGCATCCATTGGCCTGGTGTCATCAGGAGACATGGAGTTGTACAGCTGTGTATCATCTGCATAACTGTGGAAGTCAATTCCATGTCTCCTGATGACACCGCCAAGAGGGAGCATGTATAGGTTAAAAAGGACTGGACCTAAAATGGAACCCTGGGGCACACCACATGTGATTTTATGGACCTGAGAGGAGCAGGTATCCAAACTTACCATGAAGGATCTGTCATAAGAAGTGAACCATTTGTGGACAGCACCAGAGAGGCCGAGGTGTTGTAGGCGTGATAAAAGAATGGTGTGATCTACTGTATCAAAGGCAGCGCTTAGATCCAGTAGAACCAACACAGTCACCTTTTTGAAATCATAACTTAGTCTAAAATCGTTTGAAATCTTTAAAAGAGCAGTCTCTGTGCTGTGGTTCACCCTAAAACCTGATTGAAATTTGCTGCTGATCTAAAAAGGCATTGAGCTGGGTAAAAACAAGTTTTTCTAAAATTTTGCTTAAAAATGGTAAGTTGGATACCGGTCTGTAGTTGTTAAAATCATTAAAATCTAAATTGCTCTTCTTCAGAAGGGGTCTCACCACAGCCGCTTTGAAGGCTGCAGGAAAGACCCCAGTCTGAAGAGAGCAATTCATCAGGTTTAAAAGCTCCTCTCTAAAAGATTCATAAAATGACTTAAAAAATGGAGTGGGGACTGGATCTAAAAGACATGTGGTGGGCCTCACTGAGGAGAAAACTTTATCAAGCATCTCAGCATCAACCAGGACAAAACTGTCCAGTGTTTCCTCTGGTGAAGACAAACAATCAGATGTGTTAAAAACAGTAGTGCGGTTGGATAAAATGTTACATCTGATTGTATTTATCTTCCCCGTGAAGTGGACTGCAAAATCCTCACAGAGGGAGTCTGTGGGGGTTAAAAGAGACATGCTAAAATCAGGGTTTAAAATGGTGTCGATGGTTGAAAAAAGGATTTTTGGATTATTTTTGTTCTGGCTGATTAGATTTGCAAAGTATTTGTTCTTATGATTTCTAATTGTGTAATTGTATGCTTTTTGATTGTTTTTATATATTTCGTAGTTGATTTTTGTTTTATTTTTCCTCCATCTTCGTTCTGCCACCCTGCACTCTTGTTTCATTTTGCGTACTTCTTCATTTCTCCATGGGGGTGCAGATTTTGTTTTTATGATTTTTGTTTTTAAAGGAGCCACCTGATCCAACGCAGAACTAAGTCTACTGTTAAAATCATTTGCTATAAAATCACAGGGGGCAGGTAAAACCAAGTGGGGAGTGTTATTTAGGATGTCGATAAAATTTGCAGCCACTTCAGGGGTTAGATGTCGCTTCCTCACGGTTCTCACAGAGGTCTCACGCTGTATAAAAACAGTGATGTTAAAAAACACACAGTAGTGGTCCGAGACAGCCAAGTCGACAACAGAGGACACATCCGTAGTCAGGCCATAGGTA